AAATATGTGAAAATGAACTGAATGCGTGACCACAAATCCCCATTTCAAGCCTCTTCACAAAGCCTGACTGAGTTTTCAAGCTGCTGTTCAGAAAAAATTCAAATACAGGTTTAGGGGCCCAGCACAACTGAGCTCAGTGCTCATCAGTCCTTTAATGTAGACCAAAGGTCTTTGTGGTTCAAAATCATCTACTGCAATGCTAAGCAATGCACTCATTGCTTTTGCTGACTTTCCGTAAACCAGTAGGATGCCAGGCTGTCACGATCAGAACATCTGCTTCATTGGAAAAGTATTTCAGCAGTCTTTGCCTTGTAATAAATGATGTGATCCTGGAAGGCCGACAGCAGCGTAGGAGTGTGGGCAAACAGCTCACCAAAGGTCAAAGCCACCCAATGCTTCTGGATCAGCAGCACCATTTCTGTCCACCCCACCCTACCCAGAGTCTTAGAGCAGCAATGAATAAGTGAAAAAGTACATCACTGATAATATATCTTCTACCAGTGAAGAACATGAGAAGGGAGGAAAGGAGAAGAAAGCAGAGGAGAATGGAATCCGGCTCTGAAAATATTTACTCTCCCACCGAAAACAGAGCGATTCCCAGAAGTGCCGCTTAGTTTGCCTCAGTCAGAATGAACTTGGGTAGCAAAATGTGAGATATAAACTATTTCAGTTATGAAATAGGCTACAGAGTGCTTACACAAACAGCTTCACTAGCACACAGATATCTGATCTGTCCATCTTAATTTATAGCCTTTCCAAGAACAGTCCCTTAGCATCTGACTTTTTTTTTTAAGGAGTTACTCATTTTCTTTCATCTTTTAGACTCTGTATTCCCCTAAAACACAACCCTCCACTGCTTCTGTAGTCTCTTTTTTTCCATCTACAATGCAATGTCAAGAAAACCCCAATGCCATAAAACAGTGCAAACATTTCAATTTTTCCAACAATGTAAACAGCATCAAAAAGATTTTGGATCCTGTTTGTCTACCTGTGGCATTAGTAGTCAGTGGATGTTCTGCTGCTACAGTTAGAGAAAGGTCTTGTTCCTGTTGTTATTGTTATTGCCTTTTAAAGTGAAATGATAGTAGCACTCTGTTGAATGGTAGCATTTTACAGCAATTTAACTTCCTGCCTAAAGAAGCAAATCTGCATGAGAATTACCTGGAAAGCACAATCACATACACACAGTGTTTATATATATGTATGCACATATATGCTGGCATTTTCAGAACAGGTATGTCATACAACATATCAAAGGTCATAGGGATGAAGCATAAATTAGTTGGCAAGATTATTTTCTAAACTAATTTCCTAGAAAAGGAACCATTTCCTAAAAAAATCCTACCATTACTCTCCAACCTATTCTTTGATGAAAAGTGGAGCTGATTTCTACCTTCATTCTTATTTACCTTCCATGAAAGCACCGCTGAGGACCTAATGAAGAATGCTGGGTAATTCTGGCATTATTGGATTTTTGGTTATTTATTTATTAGACATGAGAGCTGTTATCAGCAAGCAGCCAGGTGAGTCAAATCAGATAAAGCATTATCTGATTCCTGTGCTGTAAATCAGATTTTAATAGAGAAAAGATCTGTATGCCTTTGGGATTGGAAAGAATATGTTTATAATGTGTTCTGAGTGTCTGCTACACAATAGCAAGTATGGATAAAAATATTTTCTCTAATCAATTTTCCACCTTCTTCTCCAAGTTCTTTCACACATAAGATGAGAACTAAAATAAATGAAAATTCTGTTTGTCACAAGTGCTACCAAATAACTAAGATAAGCATGCATAAAAGTATGCATACATGCTGCATTCTCAAACGGACATACAAAAAATACTGAATTCTGCAATATTAAAAGACATTGTAATTTCTCTGATGGCAGAATAATTTACAGATTTCAGGTTTATCTAATTCAGCCATTGAAATGAGACCTTTGGTAGCCTACTCTTAACCTCAGTACACCTTCTATCCTAGGTATTTATCCTTGTCTTTGAATCTATAAAGTCTTAAGACAGCACCTGTAGACTGGACACAGATAATATTTGACTACCTGTTGAAGGTTTTACAAATTTTAATCAGCAGAGTAATCTAGATATGCTCAGACAGAAATTAATGTTAAACATAAAAAAGCTTAATACAAAGCCAGCTCTTTCTTGTACTGCAGTCTTACTTGAATTTTAATTTGCTGGAAATTTTTGTTCGCAAAAATGAGGGCTCCCCTCTCACCTAATGCATCTGTGTTTGAACTAAAATCCTGTAATTAGTTTACTGTCTGGATACTTAAATATTCTGAGGACTCAAAAATGACTTTTAAAATCAAACATGCCAGGTCACATCCAATTAATTCCATAACAAACTGGAGGAATAGGCCTCTCATGTCATATTTGGCTTAACATTTCTTCTATGATTTACACATGAAAATGAATTTATAGCCAAATGTTTTTATTTACTGAGGTTTATGAAGGTGTGTGCTCAGAGTGCCATTAAAGAATGAATAGGGAAAGCTCTGCCACTGCCAGCCATCAGCAGCAAGGCTGACATCCACATCACACTTCACTATCTTCTTATTCCCTTTTCTTCCCAGGTGAGCCTTTGCTTCTCCATCACAATTCACAGGAGGACTAATATTTTTAAAAATAACTGCAAAACTACAGGCAGCATAGAAGTCATTAACACAATGGAAGCTAATATCAAACTTAAGCTATCTGAATGTAGGTCCTACTTTCCAGTGGAAAAAACCCAACCAAGTCTCTACTAACCATATGCTGTGTTTGAGCAATTGGTTTCCCTTTTGGGAAATGCAACTGCACTTTATTTTTTTTTATCACTATCTGAACAATAACATTATTCCAAGGTTATTCTGTATTTGGATGAGTAAAGGTTAGCTCTAGTCAGTTGGGCAAGAGAGTAGTTTCAGGTTGTAATGACCTTGATGTCTCAGACAGATTGAATATCTACAAGGAAGACCAGATAATTGTTTGGTTTTATATATCTCTCTATACATACATCTGTGATTAAAATGGAGAAATAAATGAAGGAACTATGACCTGTGAGAAACATGAATACTGAGTCTGAAAGCATAGCCTGTAATTGGACACACTGTACACATCACTAAGGAAAATACTGTAAAAGTCTGTTCTCTTTCCTCCTGGAGACAGTAACAAGGGTGGGGAGAAGCATAGATGATGGTGTAGTGTTAACATGAAACAAGTAGGAAACAGTTTTTTAAATACTTTTTTGTCCCCCCCAAAAAAGAAAAAAAAAAAAAGATGAAATTAAGTGTAATAAAATTCCCCATAGGTCCACATTTAGTTATGTCTCTAAGAAACCTGAAGAAGTTTACTACAGCACAACTAGAATGACCAACATTGAAGAAACTGATATCTCAACCCAACCCTAGATAGGAAAAACCTTTGCTGCCATTGCATATCCCCTCTGTGCCCTCTTTCATCTGGCACAGCTAGACTAGCAATCCCTTTTTCCATAGCTTCAGCAGACCAGGCAATCATAATTTTCTATTAACAAAGCCACAAAGCCATGTCATTTGTGGGAGCAAACAGACCATCTTTAAAATTACTGTCTTTCTAATGAGCACCTTGTAAATCCGATGAAATTTTTGTCATTAAGCTCAAGAAATTTCTGATGTATCTAAAAACCGGCATTTTAAACTAATAGTAAAAACCACAAGAAAGGCTGTAGCCTCACAGCATCTACCACATTCTGATCCACACAGTAGCCTATAGCCTTTTGCAATATGACATCAGAGATGCTTCCTTCATTAACATGACGTTGGCTTGAGCTTTTTTCCCCTCACCATGGCAGGTAGAACATTTTCTGAGAAATTAGTGTCTCAGTGCAATGGGCCACAAAATTTGCTGCATAACAGGAGATGAACAGATGCAGATTCAGAACCTTATTTGTCAATTGTACTTATAAGTACAAGTGAAAATATCTGACACTTTTTCAAATTAAAAGAATGTCCCTTATACAATATAGTCAGCTCTTCCAATCTAGTTTTAAAGGACAAAAGCGTTGCTAGCCTGGTATCTCTTCATCTGGCAATTCTCTCACATCCCAAAATTAATGCCATATTTATATATTTTATCATTATTGAGCTACCACCATCTTAATTGCACATGTTCAAGCTCGCAGTGGAGTAAGAAGTTCCCTGGACTAGCAGGTGTTCTGCTGCCTGGCATGGTGGGTCAAACTCAGATTTTAGCCAGCAAAGGCACTGCATTGCAAACTGTGAGAACTGTATGCCCTTTCTACATGGGATGGGTCTAAAGCCTGATCATGTCAGACTGTGAGACCAGAGCCTCTCAATTACTGCTTTCCTCCCCCTTAAGTTTTAATGAATCTTTATTGAAAATATCCCATTACTTTCCTCTGTAAATACATCCTGAATGACTCAGTACAGGAGGAAGGGGCAGGAGGATGAAGGTTGCTTCAATTTTTTTTTTAATCATGAAACCTTCTTTTTTTACAGATAAATGTCCCTGGTTCTAGATCAAATGCACCTTTTTTCCACTTTAAAATAAGAAAAGAGATGTATTAATTCAGAGTTGACAAACAGACAATATACATGAAGCAGTTCAGGAGAAGTGAGGAAGCTTTAATAATCTGTATCACATTATTATTTGTCTGTTGTAACTTTATGGCTTATAAACAGAAGTTTAGACACTCGTGGCTTCTCCTCCCTGGAGGGTAATGTATCAAGATGGTAATGTATCATGACCTCAACAAATGTTCTATTTGAAGAGCACAATGACTCCCAAATGGAAAACATGTTTCTGCCTGATATCTCAGGTTTAAACATATTTCTCTTCTCTTTTTGTAAAAGCCCCTTCATTTCTAAGAAAAAAAATGGTCTGGCAGAGATTCAACGCCAGGCTCCACCTTCAAACTTGTAAGGCCCTTCAGCACTGGTGATGCTGGCGTAAATGTATGGTTAGGACCACATCAAACCCACCGTCCCAGAGGCATCTGACTTACTGAGGTTCCACTTCAGGCCTGTCGTGGTCACGCTCTCGCAGGAGTTCCCAATGGGGATGAGGCCACACCAGGTGCCTTCCAGTCCTGTGTCCACACGCAGCTTGTGCTTGCCCTGCAAGACAGAAGGGCCTCTGGAGTCAATGCTTGCCAGGCACCCAAACCTGCTAACAGACCTTGCAAATAAAATAGAAAGGACTTAGATGGAGACAGGTCCAGAATGTCCCCCAAGAGCTCAGGAATATTTCATTGCAGCAGGAACTCAGGCCATTAATGTTTACAGAGGGTGGAGAGATGTGTGCTTAGGTTCCAGACCTCAGGGCTTTCTGGTTTGCTTCTAGGTTTTTCTAAGCAGAGTCTGGCTTTGTGCATTCTTTCCTATCATTTTTTGAATAGACGCTTCTGTCAAAGCTAGGCTCTTTATTCCCATGAAACGAAGGCATCCTGATCCATTAATTCATTTTTTCCTCATCTAAACAGCTGTGTTTCACTTCCTAAACAATGCTAGTCAAAGTGCCACTGAAACTCCTTCATTATTTTGACAACATCTGTAAAATTTCATGTACTTCCCCAGGCATGTACTCTTCCCAGAAGGACAAATATGTGCAGAAACTCAACTAGGTGCTAGAGAAATTAGCCTAGATGTTTAAAGTAACATGCTTACAATGAGAAAGAACAAAAACTGAAATAAGAAAATTTTTTGTACACCTAAGATAAATCTATCTTGTAACTCTACAGTTCATGGGAGAAACAACAGCTATTAATGATGATGGATTTGTGACAAAGCTCTTAATTAGCACTTATAGACCCTGTGTGAACATCTTGCCAGGTATCAGCATATGAACAGTTGCAAGGAAGAGTAGATAGAGGAAATCTTTTACAGAATGAAAAAAAAAAGTGCTGAGTGTTATAGTTCTGGCACAGTATGTGTTCTAAGAAACTAAGGAGGTGTTTATGGAAACTAGCTACAAGAAAACAGCAAATGCCAAGTAGTGACAAGATCAGTGAAGAAACCATCTCTGGTCTCTTCTACACAGATAATTTATTCTTTCAAATAAACATGGGTTTCATCTGGGGGAACCTTAAGAATCTTTAAGGGTTTATTTTATTTGCTTGTGGATGCATGGGCAAGTCAAACTCTTGAGCATGTCTTTTACACAAATTCTTCACCACTATAAATAAAATCATATATGCCTATTTATAAATATACCAAAATAAAAGGACTCTCTGAAACCAAATGAGTATTCAGTGAGTAATTTGTTAAACAAGAAACCAAGGTTTTATACCAAGAGCAAAAAAACCCAGTTGAATCGTAAAAATCAAGTAAATGTCCCAAGCAGCAAAAAACACTGTCTCACAAATTTTCTAAGGAAAATGTATTTAAGCTTTTTTTCTCGTGCCTTGTCCTGTCATATGCTCATTTCACATGCTCTTGCAAATACAAGTCACCAGTTAGAAAGTCAAAACTGGAGGCAAAATATTTTATTGCTGAGACATGATATCTGAGGCGTTCAACAACTTCTCCCGTTAATGCCAAATGCCTTATGAAGAAACAACTTCAATACATGTCATGCTCTCAGTTAACAAATGAACCTTGGAAAAGCTGTCAATTAGAGAGTATCAGATTGCATAGCTTAAGCCTATTTGATTGTTTGCAGAGCAACAAGAAAACCAATCCAATATCATCTGTCTTCTCAGGGTGTCCAGCTTCATGTGGTGATGAGCCGTGTATATCTGTAGTGGTTTTGAATGCTTGCCTGCCAAATTCAGAGGTGTAACAAATTCAGGCTTGATAACCTTTTAGCTATGCAATATGCCATGCTACTTCTCTCTCACAGCACAGAGGGAGGAGGAAAGGGAGAGGTTCAAGTACAAGCTCTCTTGTTATACGATTGCAAATATTGTCTGTAATGAAGCTGATAATGAAGGAGAGATGAAGGGGTGGGACTGTCTATTTCCAATGAATATTGCTGCTCAGAGCTACTCTAGGAGAGGAGCAAACTCACCATATTTATCTATTAGTAAGGGAATAAGAAAAGTAGATGTAAAAGTAGCTGGCCCCACAGAGAACCTGATTAAGTTGTGTGTTCTCAAAATCTATGTCCAACTACTATGAGGTTTGCATTTCCTATTTCATGACATTCTCACCCAGCTTATAGATAAGGAAACAATTCAATGGAAATTTATGCAGAAAGTTGTCTTCCTACGCTCATGAAATAAATCTTTAAACAATACCAGAGGTTCACCAATATCTAGGATTTTATCAGGAGTCTTTCAATGTCTAGTACCTCCCTAAAATTCCAGTTCAGTGTTTCAGTGATTATGTGAGAACATTAACTTTCTTCCCTAAAAGGACATTTTCTAGCACTCAGTTGTGTTTTGCAAACTGGGAACCCAAAGGGCTAACTCAGGGCAGCAGGTAAACAGGAACTGAAATATTGAAATGCAAATTATTTTTTAAAAAAACCCCTCTGAACTGTTAGGACAAATTTATGTCTTAGGGATTACTCCACTAATTTAATAGAAGTCAGTTTTTAAGACTTCTCTTTTTATAAGTCAATAAGGGTTCTTAATATTACTGGGGATAGTGGTGGCAGAAAAGGGAATGCACATTGGGAAAAAACCCAAACAAAAGAATTCCAAGTAACCTACTAATTTTTGACAAAAAAGGTTCACCAGTCAATGCATTTGCACAGTACTCTAAATTCAAAGCACTGTGAGCCTGCCATGGGGGAAAGTCAGTGCCCAAGCTTATCTTCAAATTTTTGAGTACAGATCTCTCAACCAAGCAAGATGGAACTGATATTTGCAGGAGGAAGGGAGGATCAGAGCTTCTGATTTGCAAATACAAGTAATAATTTGTTCTATTTAAGTCTGTGTGATTAAAGGAACAATTATATACTGACACTTAAAATATCAAACTGTTTTCAGTTTCTGCAGAACTCAAAGTTCTAAAACTAGGTTTAAAAAGAAAACCAAAGTTTGACTAAATAAATTCCTCCTTAAGTTTTTTTCCTCTGTAGGAGATAACTGAAATATTTTCACATTTAACTTAGGAATCAAATATTACCATGTTTGAATGGTAATTCCTGGTGATAAAAGAACGGCAAATAATACAGCTGCATTGATTCTTATCTTATTAAGTCAGTTTTGAAAAACATTGATCAATCTTCAGCATTGATTTTTTTCCTTCATTTTGTCTCTGATGCTGGAAAATAAGATCAATTTCTGAGTTCAGCAATAAGAGGAAAATGTCAGAAGATATTTTTAAGAATTCTTCATCCACATAGGTTAAACTTTTCCTTTTGATTCTAATGCCTTGTGTTATAAAAGGCATTTAAGCAGTAGTGGTTAAATATACACCCACTCGAACACTGTTTTCACTGAGGAAAGACCTAAAGACATAGTTGTTCTTTGTCACATCTCCTAACTGAAATGAATAGAAGTCTGATTGCTGGGAACTCATATACCTAACCCCATTCAAGGTGGTAAGATGCTAAAATCCTTAGTAAAAAATTTTCAAGCTGAAAAGCACATGAACAGTATCAAGATAAAAGCTGATAGCTTCTCTGCGTATATAGATATCCCAGTACACAGAAAATTACTCCTCCAAGTGCTTTTCAGACCAACTTGAATAAATGTGCTGCAATAAATGTACACTCTAAAATAGACATCAAGCAACAAAAAGTTATGAAAGAGAAGAGGGAATGAGGGCTGATCTTCAGTACTGCATTCTAAAGGGATCTGAAGGAGGGAAACTTGGAGCTTGGCAGGCTGAAACTGTACGCAGACGAGTTAACAAGATGCTGGGGAAGAATAAGGAACTAAAATTAAGCTTTAAAAAACAAGTGAAGAAAGACATTGTAAGTAGATCTTGGAAACTGCTGAAGAACTAGGATATGTGAAAGGTAACGGGGAAGGAAAAAGAATGAGTTACCTGATTAGAGGGCAAAGCAATCTCATTCTGATCTTCAGGCTGCCCTGATAGTTTCTCTAGTATAATATAAGAAATCACTGATTTTCTAAAAGGTATACTGTCACCTGTACGTGCTGTGAGATCTGGGACTACAGAGAAACAGGATTTCTTGAGATTTGGCCAACTGCTCTACAATACCTCCTCTGCTAGCTAGATCCTGTTTTCCATGATCTTTCGATAAAGCATCTTTTTTATAGCAGCTTTATTTCCTTGATTACTCCATAGATGGCAGCACACACTTGAAAGCAACAACAGCAGCAGAAAACTAAATACAGATGTCATAGTGTTACCCAGGGAAAAAGCAAAAACCACAGTTTGTTTTAGTACATAAACATCTGGGTGCAGAAAATTGTATATAGATAAAAGATTTGGGGAATGGGTGGAAATCAACACAATCACTAAAGACTGCAGAAGAGAGGAGGAGGAGAAAAGGAACAAGTATGAAACAAAGCCGAGAACATTTACGTTTAAAATCAAATATCAGTTGTTCCAGAAATATTTCTACTAATCATTAGTTGTGCAGGAGCTTGACTTAACAATAATAAAAGCTTTTAGGCTGAGATTCTGAGCAAGATAAATACAGCCAATTTTCTAAAAGGATGTGCTTAAGAAGAGCCATTTTATTATAACCCTAAAATATCATCAATTGTCTTTTCACACAAATACACATAGTGCCAAGTTGCGATTACATGAATGCTATTCAAAGAACATTTTCTGAGCAAATCAGGCTTTTTGTTGTTGCTGAAAACAAAAGTAGTTACAGTTCCAGCAAAAACTAGGAAGTTTAAAAGCTCTTGCCTGTCATATCAATGACTGCTTAAACACGTATAGAAAAACCAGCAAATTTATTATTCTTCAAAATAATATTGAAAACTATTGGACCCAATCTTGCCAATCCCTACTATCAAATGTTTTTAGTGTTCCTGCATTGAAATGGATAGACTTCAGTATATCAGCTACTTTCAAGACAGAGCCTTACCAAGGCTATCCTTCAGGAGAAGCAGTTCATAAAAAATGGCTTTATAGTGAATAAATTCCCAGGCAGGAGAGAAAGAATATATTATAATCATTATTAGATCCAATTAATGAACACATGTGCTTCAAACCAGTTTATGTCAAGGGTACAGAAGGAAATTCCT